TTAGTTTTGATGCAAAAACGCATGATCGCACCGGCTCGCCTGGTGCGTTCCAGCCTTTGTTTGGTTGCTCTAAAAATGTGAAGCAAGTGTTTGTTTGCTTTTTTTCAGTAGAATTTGCATTTGCATCTGCATTTACGTATGCATGCATATATCTATTTGTGCGTGTGTGTGTTTTTGTGAATATTTTTCATTTATGTGCACATATGCATAATTATGAGTGTGTAGGTCTACTGTGTGTGTATTTGTGTGAGTGTTTGTAAGTTTGTGTATATTTGTGTAAGTTCTTCGGTGTACGTCTTCGTATGTTCGTGCATATGTATGTGTGTGTACGTGTATGTTTATTCATGTAAGAAAGCATATTCGTGCGGCTTCTGTAGTCTCAAAGCGCTGTATTCTGTGCTATTGCTTCTAAATTTCAATCTCATATTTTTTGCATTTGACTTTATTTCACTTTCCTTTCCAGTGGAGCAGAAATGCATCCTTTTGTTACCCCAGAGTGTCCAGGCTTATTTTTATTGCCTAAATAATTATGCCTTTAGTCCTGGGAAATTCTGCTTCCATCCCCATCGAAAAGCAGTCGAATTCGGGAAAAAAAGTGGAGCATTGAATGAGTTTTTGCACTTTTGCGGGCAATGAAATAAGTGCAAAAACGTAATGTAATGTTTTCGCTTTCACAGAAAGCTTACACACTGAATTTTTTTTAGTCTGAGTTTTAGCTTAAATTTCTTTCATCAGTAAAATCCTAAAATCAGCCTTTTACCTTCTTCTTTGCCCTAAGCCTCTTTCTGAATCTAAACGAAGCAATTTTAGTGAAACGGAGGTTTTGCACGTTTAACTTTTTGCTATTTTTTGACAAAAATTTAACTCGTATGCTTTACAATCGCTTGTGAATTGTGGCTGACTAAGTAGGGACGAAGTAGAAGGAGATTTGCACATGAACAGTACTAAAGGGACTGCGAGTGCGCGTCACAGATATTTTTTGGGTTCATGGGCTACAAATTCTGGAAAACCAACTAAAAACCCTGAAAGGAGTACGCAGATGTGATAGGTAGTATAAGATATGAGGGTTCTGACTATTTCAGCAGTGTGTTCTCGCTTCCCATGAAATCGAGGCTGCTAGCTTCTGCGTTCGAATATTTGAAGCGGTCATCCTCTGATGCCGATTCTGAGATGGGCAAGGCCATCCTAATAGTGGACATAAATGATGCTACTGGAGCGCATCAAAACAGCAGAAAACGCCTATGCCAGGCCATTTTTCGATTCATCGTTGAAAATTGTTTCCTGAAATTATTGCCCTATTGTCATCCATTTTACTTTGTGCTTTCTGTAAGCTGTTGCTTTGCTTTTTGATTTTATTCCGAATGCAACGATATAGGTACGCTGCAGGCTTGAATTGGTTAATCGTCGTTGGCGTGAGACATCGCTGATGGCAGCACGAAACGATGATCGACCGGTCTGGGTCTATGTTATATTCCGGAAAAATCACTGCAGCGGACATGAAAAGATGACTGTCAATATGAGTTTTGATGGACCGGTTTTCTGGAATCGCCAAGTGGCATATATATACTGCTGTAGCTGCCATTTTCATGAACATGAGGTTTTTCTTGAAATTTTCGGTTTTCCCGATTTTCATATAAAAGAATTCTGTAATCAGTTTCCTTTTAAACAGTCCTCGAGAAAAGATGTGACAGTCTTGCTGGCGCTCGCTTACTGTTCACAATTGCTGATATTCGAGCTATCTCCGAATGCTTTCACCCCTCGTGGAAAGTGAATACAGAAGGGTTTTAACTCTGACAGTAAATGAATAATATAGAGGCAGAGCTTCCAATAGGTATTTTCTGCCGCGTAAGCAGAGGAAGATTTCTGGTCCAAGATGCGTACTTGTATTCAGGAGCTCTCTTGTCTTTCGAAGCCGAAAAAAGATGCTCTTCTAAGACAAATTTATGGATCTACATGCCAAACAACAGAAAAAGCAAGTTATGAAAATGTTTTCAAAAAAAATCGTTCTTCCAGGGGCCTTTATTAGCACTGCTAAGGAAACTGGAACATCGAGTGGAACGAATGTGCATTGTGGATACGCCTGTCGATTATGCCTTCCTGCCAGATAGTTTCTTCTCCTATATGGCCACAAGCATGCCTCGACTACAAGTAAGCTATTGAAACTCCTTAGCCTGAACCACACATTTTTCGGTCTCGCTGTTTGTGGAAATACAGTTTTCATTGCATGCAATCTGTTCTTCTCTGCTTTCGGACCCCCGTCATTCTCATAAATCTGTCAAGTTTATCTTCAGCTTTCTTCGAGGTCGCACAAGTGCCATTCAGTAATCCGCTTTAATTATCTGTTGTTTTTAATTCCTGAAACAAAACTAATTGGTAACACTACTCTTGCCACACCATTATGCAGTACTTTATTGAAGGCATACTGCGGTTGGCTGACACATACCCAGTTTCCTTTCATGGCTTGTTGGGTTATTGCTAATTTTTTGTCTCAACAAGCGTGGTGCCTTACCAGCTTGCAAACAAAGTAGCTGGCAACGCTTTGGAATTTAAAGATACAGAGAAGTGGCTTTTGCAAGCTTTTTTTGTTCCGCATCATTAATTTCCACTGTTTAGTTCATATATCTGCGTGAAATTGATCTTGAAAAAATTAACCGTGGTACGGTGGCTGAAATGGCCAAGCATGGACAGATTAAAAAGGTCATCGTGCATAAATGCCGCAATTACGAAGTGAGTTGAATCCAAGCATTTTTAAGGAACAATTTTTACAGATCTCTTGTAAATTTGTGCACCACCGAAATTTTATCGCAGGAATTACTCATATGTGGGTTTTTCCATGGGTTTTGAGGCAAAAACTGACAACAGCCAATTCACGTTTCCCTATCCTATTCCTAATACTGAGTTAACATACTCTTCGAAAGATTGCTGGCAGCAAATGCTCAAAATCCGAGAGATTCTGAGCAGTAGATAAAGCAATACTTTTGAGGTAGTGCGAGCCGGCAAGTTCCGTTTCCCAGATGCATAATTGTTGATTTTGTATGCGAAATTGTAGATTTTATGCGTCTTAGGCAATCGTTTTTGCAGGTATTCGAGGATTTTCACAATCTTCCTCAGCTGCTTGTCGTCAAAGGTGATATTGTTGGTCTAAAAGTGAGTTTTCCTCTAGATTTCGGTAGTCCTTATTTGGTGAAGGGAGTTCACTTTTGCAAGTGAATATGGGCTAGTAAAGAATTGAACTGCTCTTCACATATGGATGCTGCGTGCTAAACCAATGTATCACTGGTGCTGCTGGAGTCTTGCGAAAAGCCTACGGTTTTTGAAAGGGTGTGCTGTACAGGATAATGCAGAGTAAATATGGGAATATTAGATCGCGCACATGAGTGCGAGGAGTACAAGATCCGGTAGTAAAGTGGTCTAGGATTTTGTATCGGGATGTGAAACGCTGACCGATTCCCTGCAAGTCCACAACCCTTTTCAAAAAGGGACTCCGTCCACAAGAACCGGTCTTTGCGCCTCAATCGGTCAACCCGAGATCGCTTCTATCATCTTTTAAATTAAAATAATCTTTTTGTCTGCGTCTCCTGAGCAGCACACATTTTCTTGCAGCGGCTTCTTTTGCAGACTCCTCGCGGGTTTTTCACGGCACCGTGTAGAAAGACTGTACCAGTCAAAAAAATTCTACGTTAAGACTGAAGAAATTAAAAGATTTCTTGGTCAAAAAAATTAAATTACATCCGTCGAAAACCAAATCACTGGAGTATTTTTGATTTTGAAATCCCAAATTTTCTTTGTTTGAGATACAAACAACGCGAAGTGGCTTTCCTCATCAGTACAGCTTTTTTTAAGATATAAATGAAAATGACGGTGAGGTGAGACAGGATGGTCATGTTAGAGTTGCAAGATGTACTGTCTTGCAGAGAAGTAAGCTTCAAGCTAGTAGGAATTTATTGGATCGTAATTGAGCAGTGTTGTGCTGACTCGCTAATAATCAAAAGACTTATTTGACAGAAGAGTATCTGGAGCAAAGCAGGCACCAAATCGAATAAAAGCGCGCAAAACGTCGGAAGAAACCTGAAAGCAACTATAGCCTGATACTAGCGCGTAGGACTTAACCACTCACTTTTCTCCGACCCAGCTGTTTCCAAGATTTCCTTGCTTGATGTTACTGATGATTAGCCGATTCTCTGGCATCGGCTACCCTCCCGTTTTTCGTCGGCCACCGCAGTTTCCAGCGCCATTTGTCCAAAACGCAGTAATCACTTCGTTCACTTCATCTGCCCTATTGTACCTACTTCCCGTTATGATTTTTTTTTTGTAGTTCTGATAGATAAGCTTGTAACAACGCAGGGATCAAGGAAGGAGACTCTGATAAACAGCTGATGACTTCTCGAAGGATTCTGTAATCAGGGAGCGTCCTGGCTTCTTCATGATTATTTTACACTTTTATTTGCCGCAGATGCGATTATACCTAAGACGGCAGTGGCGGTTTACATTCGGAAAAGAGTCATTTTCTGGTAACCACGCTTCTTCCATCACATAATGCATATAACTATATCACGTACATTCAGGCAATGATCGGCGAATATCCTGAATTCGATGACTTGACAGCGCTGGAAACGAA